GTACATACTTTCGCTTTTTCCACCGCAAGCGCAATTATTCTACCAATTTCCCAGTCGTACAGAGTAAATTTTCAAGTTTGGCCTCACAGTGAAATTCCACTCCCACAAAGCATTTTTGAAAAGATGGCACTAAATATACGAGCTGATCTAGCTTTAAGGTCATCTACAAGATTCCTTTCTATTGGGGCTACAGTCGGGACCAACTATTTTGCACCATGTTCACAAGGCTATAAAGCAGTTTCCACGGCACTGTCAATGTTATTTGCGCGATGCAGCGAATGAGGCGCAAGACGAAACGATCTGCTCATGCAGAAGTGAGCAGCCGTTGCGCCAGGGGAACTAAGCCTCGACAAAATAGTGCAGAAAGGTTAACACTGAGTAAGTACGCCAGCCAATTCAAACTATTCTGCAGGCAACTTCATCGTCTGCGAGTGCGATGCAGCTTGGCTGGGAGACAAGCTCGCACCCCACGCCACCGTGGATGGCATCTGCAGCTACCCCGAGGAACGAGAGGGTGTCCCGCTGAGGGACTTCAAGAGACTTCCGCACTGCAACTGAACCCTCTTTTGGAAGAGACCATAATCGGTGACAAGTTAACAGCCCGGTAGATTCTCCGCCTCAAAGCAAACTTTCTTCCTTCAATGACATTTGGTCGCACAAGCAGCCGAAGCCCGGCAGAAGGCGACGAGAGCATGCTGGAGGCGAAGCTTGTACTGGGCTCTAATCCGGTCACCGATTACACACCTACGCTTTGCTTAACCTTACGATGGTCCACAGCGGACACCACAAGTCATCCCAGCCGGCATGGTGCTGCAAGCATAGCACATTGCTACGTGCCCCGCATGTCGCTGTGTTGCTCCCAAAGGTTGCGCAACACACACGCAGCATCGAAATGGCTTCGACGGCTTGTAATGTCCTCTGCGGTCCACCTTAAGGTGAAACAGAGTATGCGGAGCACAAATTTGTCTGCTGCTTCTTGCACGGGGGTTACGAGAATGTCAGAATGCCGAGCTCTTATTGGCCCATTGAAAAAAATAGGGGATAGACCTTGAGGCATCTAGCATTGAGGTCTACCCACTATCCTTTCAATCAAAGCCAATCAGAGCTCGGTGTCGTTCTGACGTCACCGCAAGCCCTGCGCAAGAAGCAGATGAACAATTGTGCTATGAATAGGAGACGTTAGTGTCCCCAGACACAGGCACGTAGCCAGGGTTTTGGTTAGGGGGGGCCCGCCCATGACAAAATGCTGTATGAGGGGGAGGAGAGAAGGCCCCCCCTCCCCTTCTTTCTGGATATATGCCTGCCCAGACATCTTATATAATGCCACAAATCTACAAAACTGAAAGTGCCAAAAGACAGGGACACTATGGTGAAAGAGACACTGCAACATGCTACAACGAAACTTTATTAAAAAAAAAAAGAAATATAAAGGGTCTTTTTAATGCCCAGGCTTGCTCTGACTAAGATGGGGCAGAAAGTCAACGCCTACACTTATATTTGTTGTCATATCAAGAAGAAAAAAAGTTCTTTACAATATTCATGGCAAGCGCCCACTCAAAATTTAGAGATAATTGAGAAAAAATGGAGGATAGGCGCTTGTCCGGTCATCAATTTTACATATGAATGTACTGTGCATATTTTCTCCGATCTTGCAAATTTGGGAATGGGCGCTTAACGTGGAATGGGCGGAGGCGCGGTATTCTACGGTAGTTCTTGTTTGATTGCCAAAGGAAGAAACAATGCTTTTGGCATTTAAAACGTGTGTCTCTTGATAAAATAACATAAAGCTAATCTAAGATGCACCCACATACAGAGTGTACCAAATAACTTGCACCAAACGTTAAAAAAGACATGGAATGCTCTACGACGGTGAAACCAACCGTATCTTATTAGCAAGCGTCTTACGAAAATGCACATATTTTTCTTAGTGCACCTACCCAAGCAGCACAGAGTTGGCCAGTCATCGGCCAGTGGCTGGCAATGGTCCTTGGCCAAGCGGCCAGACAGTGGCCAGAGACTGGCCGGTGACTGGCCTTTATCTGGCCGTTGGCCAATGGCCATCATCCATCGGCCAAGCATTGGCCAATGAATGGCTACTCTCTGGCCACTGGCCAAAAGACCCTCGCCAGACATTGGCCATTGCTTGGCCAAAATCTGTGCTGCTTGGGTAGTTATTTAATTAATTAAGACTATATTAGCTAACTTTTATAATATTTGTCTAAGGGCCAAAGTGTGAATTGGAAAGTCGTAGAGTGCATTGAGAAACACCCATTTAAAATGTGTGCTTCAGGATACGCTTTGCATGCTTCCTTTTTTTAGCCTAAAAAGAAAGCCTGCAAAATATAAAAAAAAACCATGCGACAATGCGCCCGTGCATGTCGCGCTTGCGGTGCTCTCAGGCGTGCTCTGAAGGAATAAAGTCCGCTTTAGGCCTTTTTCGGACAGCACGCCAGTGATAAGATGGACTTCGTTCCTTTAGAGCACGTCCAAGAGCCCCGCAAGCTTGACGCGCGGGCGCAATGTCACGTGGTCCTTTCTTTTTAATATTTCGCAGGCTTTCTTTTTAGGCTAATAAAAAGAAGTGTACAAAGCATATCATGCAGCAAACACCTTATTTGGCTGTTTATTTAATGGGCTATACAAATTTTTAATTTACATATTGGCCCTTAAACAAATGATTAAGAAGTTAGCTAATTAGTCTAAATTAATTAAATAGCTAGATGAATTTTCCCAAGATGCTTGCTAATAACATAATAACATACAGTTGGTGCCACTCTCGCAGAGCACACTATTTTTTTTCTTTTTTTAAACTTGGTGCAAGATTTTTGGGACACTTTGTCTATCTTAATTTGAGATATAAAGTGGTAAATTAGTAATGCTCTGCGAGGTGGCACAATTTTACTAAGGTTCTTGAGGTGAATAAAGTACCGTAATATTTTGAGAGATAGCCTACCTCAAACCGAGAGCAAATAGAGTGAAAATAGGGAGTGGGCTAGCCTTAGGTGTGCAATCGAAAAAAGTAAAAAAAAAAAGCTATTTTTAGGTCATATGTCCCTGCCATGCTTGTTATTGCGACGAGGCACAAAGAAGCAAAGATGACTGTACTTCCCAGTCAGCAATGTTCGCTTGTACCCTGCCATAGTTGACTAGCAGCTTTTACAGCGAGGCCATCATTCATCCCAACACTATGATTACTGGGAGTGGGCTTTCTTTTGGTGTTACCTTTTGGAAGTTGGGCGTTGGGTTGTTCTCAGGGACAGTGAACAATTGTGTTTTTGACGCCTGAGAACGTAAAAGAATAGCAAATCAAGCCAAAAATGGGGGTGGGCTATCTTTTGGGGGTGGGGCATTTCTCGGCATATTATGGCACAGATACCACAAATTTTCACTGAAGCTGTACTTGAGTGGAGCACTTTATCTTGTGATTTTTCAAGGGGTAGCACTTTCCCTGCGAAAATTATGGTTAACAACCTTGCCAGGGTCAACAGAGAATGACGACACAGATGGCCGATTTAGCGAAAGTTGTGCCTGTGGTGCCATCGCCCTACTGGCACAACGTGCAGATCTGCTTTCAAACAAGTGCATCGTCTGGCAGTTCCACCTATCGAGAGATGGTGCTACAAGTACGACCCTTGCTCACTCGGTCGTCTGCTGCTGACCTTGACAAATATGTTAGTCTCATTTTTCATAGAAAAAAAATAATGCTCTCAAATTTCAAAAGGTAAAACCACTATTAAAATACATCTTTGATAAAAAATTTCAGATCACTACGAGCCCGTGGCAATTTATGCAGCCAATTTTAGCAGCAGACTCGGGACTCAAAACACCCTATGCATGTCCACGCGTTAAACCGCAGATGCCATAAATCTAATTTTCGTTTCAGAAAGCTGCGGTCATAGGTCACTTCTGCGAATGCTGTCACTCTGTGCTCTGATATTGTGGTGTCTCCTTCCTGCGACAGTGTCTTTCAGCACTTTCTGTTTTCTAGGAATGGCCCATTTCTCCATCTTAGGATAGGGTGGCTAGTTAATACATATCTAGGTACACAGAAATGCTACTGACAATTAAAAAAGGTGTCAATTACTATACTTTTAGTCATTTGTGTAAAGAACTTGCTGATTATTTACTTATATAATGAGCAATCTCGTACCAACATACAACATATCTACTTTTTCCAAAGACCATATACATAAAGAAGATTTCCAGAATCATGCATTGAATCATGTTCACATACCATAATATTCCACAGATGAAGAGAAGATTTTTTCAAAGATTGTTCTTCTCTAGAGAATCTTCTACACGTGCAAAGATTTTCATAATAAAAATTCCGAGGACACCTAAGCACTTTTTACGAGTTGTGAATGCCAAAGCATGAATGTCGTTCTTCCGCTCCTTTAGTTCTTCTGCGGTGTACAAGCGTGGACGGCCACGTTTCGCTACCACTGAGATTGCGGCCAGTGGCCAAGGGCTGCGGCTGCTTTTCTGAAGCGGCTGCAGCCCACTCCCCCAGCAACGCCTGTTGCGAGAGCAGAGCGCGCGCTCTCGTGAAACAATCGCAGCTTAGCCCCACCCCCCTCTGGCAACGCCTGACACGAGAGCGGCGGCCAAGCACGCGCTTTCATGGAGCGGCTGCCAATGGCTATCTAGGAGCCGTTTTGCTCAGCCAATGGGAGAAGGGGCATTTCTTTCGTGTTTCTTTAGGGCTACAGATGCTGCCAGCTACGCTCCATTGGATAGTTAATGCTTTTGCATTAATAATAAGATAGAATTTGACTTTTTGTGAGACTACGCAATCTTGCAGTATGTCGTACACTTAAGTGGTCAAACTGTACAAAAAAAGCAGGTTAAAAAAAAAGAAAGTTTCAGCATAAAAAAAAAAATACTTTGATACTTAAAATCAATGGTCATACATATGTTGCTAAAGACAGTGGCCACAATGATCATTTGCAAAGGAACTTTGGCATTTGTACTGTAATTCAGAAGCAAAAGTTGAGGTGTACCTTGTTCTGCTTGCTGACGTCACAGACTTTCGAGTCGAGGAGGATGCTGACAACATCGAAGTTTCCGTGCGACACGGCGTAGTGGATGGCCGTGTTTCCCTGCAGGCCAAAACGGGGCGACACCAAACTCATCAGACGTTAAGAACTACAGAGCGCTAGATAGTTCTTAATTTGGAAGCTTTAGGGGGGGACACTACCTCAATATTACAATTTTCTTTTATATGTTTTCTGGAATAAATTATTTTCGACATGACAGCACCATCTAAAAAAGAAATTTCAAACTTTCAAATGCATTTCTTCAAGTTTAAAATTTAGCAGCAGATGTAGAAAACTGGTACTATTTGAGTAAGAAACTATCTGGAGACTTGGAGTTGGTAATTTAATACTGAAAGTTAAATTTCTGGACTTGATTACCATGAGGTAGGATTTTGAATTTTCTTTTTCCTTTATTGTGAAAGTTATCTGCTATTTGTACAACCACCCAAAAAGTGTGCATATATTAAAATAGTTTTTACAGAAACAACCATTCTTTTTTGCATTTCACTCCATCATAACCGGCAACAGGTATTCTAGTTTATGTTCCACCAGAGAAGCAACTAATATAGTGCTGTTTCAAAACAGTACTCTTCCAAAGCAAACACTTTTTGCTCTAGGGTGGGACCTGTGGTTCCTCAGTAGTATCTCCAGGTTTGGTTTAGGCAGCTAAAATTTTGCAGGGGGTTCTTCCATATGATTACCAACATAACCTGCAAATTTATTCCAATTGATGAAGCAGTTAAAAATTACTAGGCCTTTCACAGTAGTGTTCCCCTTTGAGAAATTGATTTGCAAAAAGAGTGCACCGTTGCCAATGTTCTCTTCTGTTACAAACCAAAACGTGCTGATTAGGTGAACACCGGACAAAAATTTGAAGAGGGGGTTTTGATAGCTGTTGAATGTGCTGTTCAATCACTTCACAGAGCGGATCTTGAAACTTATGCTGAATGTGCTGGGATAGAAATTTGTATGAGTGATGGGTTCCACTACTTAATTGGGAACTATTATTTCCCTCCACTTTTTGATGATGTTGTGTTTATTGACCATTTTAAAACCCTCTGTAATAGTACTGTTGATTTTTCTAAATACAGTGTACAATTCTATGGTGATTGTAATCTGCTTGGTCTTGATTGGTCGACTGGAACGGCATCACATATAAATAGTGTTACTTCTATGAAAGCGCCATGGCTACTTTCTCTTTAAAATTTCTATGGGTTTGCTCCAGTTTAACTCCTGCCAAAATACAGCTGACAATGTCCTTGATTTATGCTTGTCAAATGCTCCCATAGAGTCCATTGTTTCGGCTGTCATACAGTCGGTGCATGATGACGTATTTCATCCTCCCTTTGTAGTTCAGTTTTGCCTGTCATGTAGGCCCCATGCTCACCATCAGTTCTCTTCGTTTTGTTATGGCAATGGTGACTACTACGGTTTTCACAATCGCCTTTCTCATTTCAACTGGTCTGACATATTATCACAGCAAAACGCTGATTCGACCACTACTAAGTTGACTGTGGTAGTCTCTAATGCAATGAAGAATTTTATTCCAAAACAACAAGCACATAAATCTAAGTATCTTAGCTGGTTTTCGAGAGAGCTAAAGCGCCTGCTTCGTATAAAGTTGCACTATAATCGAACGTCTAAGAAAACTGAACTAAACATCTGGTACGTTAAATTCAGTGTTTAACGTGTTCTAGTGAAAAAGATGCCTATATAAAACTGATCAACTTTTGCGCTCATTGGGCGCGTTAAGTCAGCGCTCCTTTACTCCTACTCCGACGCTCAGAGTATCATACTCCGAGCGCAGCAACTAAACGGCGCATATCGTACAGGAGCGCCACACACCGAGACTGCGTTCCAAACCTACTCGAATAGATCCGAGTTACCCTGGCGTTTTATGTCACGTGACAACAAAAATAGAGAAACGCTGGACGCGGGTAGGTCTTCAATAACCACTTTTACTCTAGAGTTAGATCGAGTAAGTTTGGAACACGACCAGAAACTATCAACGGTTGACGACGGGCCACGGCCCACACGAGCTCCTTCCGACCATGGATACGGGTGGCAGAAGCCGAAAATATTTCGAAGATAAATAATTAGGCCCGGGTGGAGTGGCAGAGTCTAAAGCAAAAGAGACGGCAACGTTAGGAAGTTTCTACGAACGTTTTAATATTCCTGAAAGGTTTGAAGACTCGCTTCGTGCACATATGTGGAAGGTTACCTTGGTTGAACTATTTATTGACCATGCATGCTGTTCCGATTTAAATTAAAAACAATATTCTTGATCCCGCTCAAATTTTTTTTTTTTTGAGGAAAACCCTTAAATTTGTTGGAGATTTTCTGGTTTTGTCGGTTCCGTCTCGAAGCGAGACGGAAGCTGCGCCGATACCGGCACACCGTCGTTCGTTAGCACATCGTTTTTAGGCGGTATGCATGAACAAGCCTTCCCCGTAACGCTAACTGGTGTTTCGGCTTTCCAATCTAAGTTTCTTCATCTGCTGCAGCCGGGCTAAGCATTCTAAGCAGGGCAGCCGTCTGACTGTCTTTTCATCACTTTTCTGTCGCCGAGCTATCGGCACGCTCGTTCGATAGATCAATTTGTTTTCAGGCAAGACGCACGAACAAACCTTTTCATCGACGCTCGCTGATGTTTCGGCTTTCAAATCGAAGTGTCTTTATTCGCTGCGCTAAGTATTATAAAAAGGACAGAGCGGTCTTAATATCTCTATCTCGACAACTTTTCTGTTGCAGTGCTATCAACACGGTATCGTTTGATAGATTAATTTCTTTTTCAAGCGAGATGAACGAACAAACCTTTTTCGGAACGCTAATTGCTGTCTTGGCTTTCAAATCAAATCGTTTTTACCTGCTGGATTGAGCACTAATCAACTGAAAAGGGGCAGCGGTCCGCCTACGCCTTTTTGTCTCGATGGTCGCAAGAGCAGCGCAGCCATCTTGTTTGTTTACGTGACGTCACGGAGTGCGAAGAAGTGACTCGCGCTCCGAAAAATTCTCGGTGCACGAAGAGCGCGCTCGAGTGTCAGTCTCCGGTGGCAGTCCTCTCCGTTTAGTGAAAGGAGCACGAGGGGAAAAACGTAGTAAATAGTTTTTATGATTACTTTAGTTGCTGCTATTCTAGTTCAAGAACTGCTGGTACAACAGACAACTTTAACAAAAGCACAGACTTCTTATCTGTTTGTACTGTCGACGTCACAGAGGTTCTCGAAGCTATTGGAAATTTAAAACCCAAGTTTTCTGCGGAGGTGGACGGAATACCCAATTTTATTATTAAGGCGTGTTTGCTCCTCTTTTGAAATATATATTTAACCTATCTCTCATGAAACGTGCCTTCCCTGGTTTGTGGAAATCTTCTATAGTTGCACCCCTTTTCAAAGCTGGTGATCGGTCACTAATTAATAACTACTACCCCCTTTTGTTAATGTGTGGCTTCAGAAAAGTTTTCGAAATGGTTACGCATAGCCAGATCTTGGTTATTTCAGTCAGAAAATTAGTCCATTCAGCACGTTTTTTTTAAAGGGAAGCCCGTAGAAACAAATGATAGTCATAAACAGAGGCCAACTTGATGTAGTATATTTTGACATGTCGAAGGCCTTAGACTGTGGGATCATTCTTTACTCCTTTGCAAACTCAGTTATCATGACCTGTGCCCTAAGCTGTGTGAATGGTTCAGGAGCTACTTAAGTTTATGCAGTAACACTGTTTGTGTTGGCAACTCACTTTCAAGTCTTTTATATCGACTTCTGATGTACCCCAAGGGTCGAATCTGGGACTTCTGTTGTTTATTTTGTTTGTAAACGATATACCGTAAAATACTGGGCAAGCGCCTCCTCAAGATTTAGAGATAATTGCAAAAAAAAGAGGGGGATGGGCACTTGTTCAGTCATCAATTTTACGTATCAATGTACTGTCCATATTTTCTCAGATCTTAAGAATTTCGAAATGGGTGCTTAGTGTGGAATGGGTAGATGCGCGGTATTCTACAGTAGTGTCACGCGTCAAACATTCGAATATCCTTCTTTTCGCTGACAAGATCAAACTTTTTTTAAATGTTAAAGATTATGCTGAATGTACTTTATTGCAAACTGATATTGGTGCAATTTCGGAGTGGTGTGCAAAAAATGCTTTGTCGTTAGATACAGAAAAACTAAATTGATTTATTTATCAAGAAAATGGGACGTTTTCTTGTTCTATTATCTGCTTGAGGGCAATGCGATAGGCTGTGTATCTCTTGTAAGAGACCTTGGCTTCTACCTACATTGATAGTACTTTTTCATTTACTGTGCATATCTCTAAGATGACTGGTTCAGCGACAAGAAAGTTGGGTATGATCACTCCGTTATCCTATTCTTTCACTTCACCATTATCTGTGGTGTGTCTGTACTGCAGCCTGATATGCTCAAGACTTGAATTTGGTCCAACTAGTTGGAACTGACCATCCTTAACCCAAGTTGATTAAAATGTGCAGAAGTTAATTCAAATTATTCACGACCAATACTACATTAATTGGTCGGAAACTGTTTTTTTGTTATGATTCATTGGTATCATTACTTAGGCTGGAAAGGCTGTCAATGAGGAGGGCTATTAGAGACATCCATTTTCTTCATAAGGTACTGTTAAAACTGAGAGCTTACTTGTGGGTATAGACTATATGCCCACTAGAGTTAGTTGCTATTTCTTAACATTTTACCCCAAAAGAATTTGTGGATTGTCACCGTTACAATGTAGTATGCAGTCTGCTTTCATTAACATAGGCAATTGTGAATGGGATAGTTTCCTTGATTTTGCTAAATTTAAACCAGCCCTGCAAAAAAGTATTTGATCTGACTCGGAGTTTCCTCGAACTTGTATTTGTGTCCTTTCACATGTTTTTGTATATTTGAAATAGTGTTGCTGTAGACACAAACTGACAGTGCACCACACAATAGACTTCATAGCTGTTTGAGGGCACTAAGAAAAAAAAGCATTATTATTATTATTGTCATTAGTGATTGGAAAAAATAGTAAGGTTGGAGTTTTTTTTCTTTTTCTTTTAGTATAGAAAGAAAAGCAGCTGAGGGTGTTTGATTTATTTATTATGTATAAAACAAGGGTCAATGTTTCATTTTTCAGCGTTCTAGGACTACTTTTTTTGGGTGAAACTATTTTGCCAGTAGCCAGCAAAATAGCCCAGGGAAAAGGTGCCGGCAGTTTCGGACGGCGCGTGTATCACTGGGGAGCTCGTTAACACATTCCCCTGCCTGCAGTCACGCTGCTTCGCAGCAACAGTCTGCGGCTGCTCATTAGAAAAATATTGACCCAATTGGCCTACCAGCACCTGCCGCAATTGGCCTACCAGCACCCGCCGTGCAGCACCCGCCGTGCAGCACCCGCCGCGCAGCACCGGCCGCGCAGCACCGGCCGCGCAGCACCGGCCGCCCAGCACCGGCCGGCGGCCCAAGCCCCGCTGTCCTTCATTCACCCCCGAAAAGGGAGTCTATTCGCGTCTCCAGCTCGACGCTCGCCCTCCCGCGGCGGAAACGGGAAGCGCTCTAGTGAGGGTCCCCGATTCTCCTGCTCAGCGGCCATGGCGGAACTGCTTGCCATCATGGCTCGCGAAATGTTGTTTCCGAATGCAAACAACACTCTTCACTGTCCCAACGTAGTGCTGCAGCCGGTATGGGATTGTACCTTACTGGAGAGTTTTAGTATTGCGCATAGAAGCAAACGCAAGCGGTGTGCGTTTGCGTTAGAGTTGCGTGCCCCATGTTGTGCGTGCGCCTCATCGCCATGCGCCATCCAAGACCGCAATTTCGGGCTCCGCGCACGCGCAGTGTGGAACGCGCAAAGCTAACGCAAACACACAGGGCTTGAGTTCGCTCGTATACGCAATATTAAAACTCACTAGTGTTTCACCGGCTTCCAACGCCAACGAAACGTGCTGCAGTGAGAAGACGTGCAAGCAGGTAGGCGTTCCTTCGAACTGGAAAGGCTGAGATTGGCAAAACGACGGCGAGCAAATACAAAAGTAAATAAATGCTATGAAAAACTAGTAATTAAAAAAAAAAAAGCTTTTTTTTTTTACTTTTGGCCATTTGGTTTGGAAGTATATTGGCGGCGACTTTGGACGTTTCGCCGATTGTCAAATGTCGCGACTTTACCCACAATTAATGTAATTTTACATGAATTTCTCACATTAGCTAGAATGTTTTCATTGATTTTAGACTATTTTTATTTTATTTGTAATTAAAATGCAACAATTTGAACCAGTGATGATAATTAGCACAGTTTTCATTATCATGTTTCTTCGCGCGTTTAAAATTAGATCATAAGAAACAAATTATATTAGGGCTTGAAGAATTACTTATTCAAATATGTGAATATTAATATTAATATTATTATTAAATATCACGGCAATATATGCCTCTAATTAACGCCAAGATCACGAGAATACTCTATTTCACCATAATAGTCTTTCCAGAAAGGTATAATTCTGTTTTATTTTTAGCATATGAAAAACTCTGACATAGTTATCAAGATACACAGAGTTAAACGCTGGATGTAACATGAAGTCCTACGCGTCACGCGGTGCTATAAAAACACACACACACACTACAGCTGTCTGACTCGGATTCCGTCCTGGGTTGTTGCAGTGAGAGCAGCGTTTATTCGTTTATGCGTTTCGTGGGCATATTGTAAAGATTGGAATTATTCTGTTATTCTTGTGCTGGGATAATTGTCATTATTTCCCGTGACAATTATCTGAGCGAGAAAAAGGCAGCGAGAACGCACAGATATCAGCACTGATTTTTTCAACAACTACGAATATCAGCCTGGATCGAACAGTATGTCACAAAATAAAGTTTCCGCGAACAACTTTTCTGAGTAAATAATTACGATGTGAGACACTTCTTGAGTCATGAAAGAATCCGTAATTAAGACCTCTATCGAGAAATTAATTCCGAAATAGAGGTGAGTTTCGGTTTCGCTTCAGAATTAAAACGCGCATCCTTCCGTAATTAATACGCTAAACACAGTTCTTGTTTTCAGGTTAAAGAGGTGACCTGCGCTGATAAAACATTAGCTTCCTCGTATTACCAGAAATAATTTATGTCGCTTAGTGAAGCCAGCACACTAGACAGGCTCAACAGCGGCACGCATCTCTGACCCTCACTAAACCCGCCATCTTGGAAAATGAGTGGCGCCACCTATAGTTAGTTGGAGTCGCGAATAGCGAAGTTTTGTCGACAACATTCATTTTATTTATTTACTTTTTTTTTCTTTTTTTTTTTTAGTGTTAATCCTAAAAAAAAGATAAGTCGTAAATATTGCCAAATGCCTTTACAAAACAAAACAAACTTTCAACAAAAAAAAAAAAGGAAAGGAAAAAAGAGGACCTGGTGGATCGAACCAGGGTCCAGCTGCGTATGAGGCAAGCACCTCACCACTGAGCTACTCTATACGTTCAAATAGCCGTGTTCACAATTCGTTTCATACGAGACCCAATGGGGCACAACTGCCGGCACCTTTTTTTCCCGGGTTATTGTGCTGGCTGCCGGCAGAATATCCACTTCCGATTTCTTTTTATTGCTCGCTCTGAATAAGTATGTTTTGCGGCTCTTTACCCTTTATGCAATGCCTGCAATGGCCCTCAAGGTATGATAGATGATAAATAAATGATCATACCGAATGTTAGAACCAAGGTCCCAAAGTGCAATAATCTGCTCACATTGACATCAGCCATGTTGACGATGCGATGAAGCAGATGACGGGAGAACTCCTCGAAGGTGTCCATGTAGTCCTCAACCACGTTGGGATCGGAGTCGGCGGGACTTGCGATCCGGAACCACTCTTGCTGAATCAAGGAGACCGCCGTTTTCTACAAAGAGACAAAATAATCAAGGCAGGCAACTTAAAGGGGGTAATGAAACAATATCGGGTTGGAATGTTCGTGATTTTGCAGGGGCATACTGGTCCTAGTCTGGCCCAAGTATACTCGCAGAGACCGTCACTGATTCAGAAGCTTCTTGGTTATGGTGAAATTGCGAGGACAAAAGGGGAGTATTTGTTTCAGTATTGCCTTCGCAAAGCTCGATGACATAATTGTCGGATCGAAACCACCCGCCTGACGACAGTCGAGCGCGGCTCATGAAGTGGACACGAGAACTGCGTGAGCACTCAACTTCGGCTCGTAACGATCAATGCCTCGGCGGACACTCGGGTAACGGCTTGTGTCCAACCATTGCGGTGATGAGAAGAGCCGAGCTCTAACAACACCTGGAGGTCAGCACAGATTTTCTTTTTTGCTAACCGCAGCGTGTGGCTATGATTAACGTCAGCACTATAGGATAGGCACCAGGCCACGTGGCCACTTGTTCTGGCTCCGAGTTGAGGGGACGAACAATGCTCATGTTTCTCAAAATGTTTTGCCCACTGCCTTTGCTTAGAAAAAAAAACAAAAAAACTAAGGCAAGCTTATTCAGGTAGTAATGTTAGGAAGTGATTCTAAGTAGTATTTAGCAAAAGGAGAAAAATCGTTTCATGACCCTTTTAACTTTACAGGAAAAAAAAGAAGCAGAAATTGTCCACTGCCAACAGTTAGAAAAGGAGATGTTAAAAGTATAGTACTAGTTTTTTTTTTTTTTTTTTTCTTTGTTGGTGATGCAGACTGGCAGTGAAAAGTTAGAACACTGGATGTTGTTAACCCATAATTACATTACTGCAGAGGCTCAAATGCTTGCAGCCCTCAAAACCTCTAAAACTTGTGAAAGAAAAAAATAAAAAATCTAATTATATGCAATTTTTTTCTGTACAGATGAATATACATACAACTACCGGCATTGCACTAGTAGTGCTTTCAATTAGCCAAAAATTCAAATAACGCAAGTCTGAATTAATGTAACTTCAAGTTACAGAGTACTTTGGTAATACAGTGCAAACAGTGTGACAAAGCACGAACAAGTGATTGACAGTTTCTCTTCGTTCTTTCAGAATTAAAAGCCCATAATCAAAACTGCTAGTGGGAAGAGAAGTGCCAATTTGGGGCACACATTGTGGGCACACACCGATGCACTGTGGAGAAGCAACACTAGCGGGAGTGAGCTCTGCAAGTGTTGGTTCTCCACAGTGCATCGGTGCTCGATAAGAAGCATGCTTAACGGAGCTAAGCCGCCGTGATCAATAGTGCTAAGAAAAATATAAAGATCGCAGTTCATTTTGAAGCGAATATCAAATAGCCGTATTATTCAAAACTACTATTCGAAAATGAGAACATTTCTCACAGTCCTCGATACAAATTTAGCGAGGCAGATTTCGGGAACTTCAATTCTTGAAAGTAAACAGTGTGACTTCCTCAAAAGTAACAAAACAGTGGCAGCTTTAAGTAAAGCATAGGAATCTGCTAGCTAGATGTACCCAAAGTTAAAGTTACCTAAAATTACTCGCTGCTATCATATACTGTCAGTACTTCCCAAAATGTATCACATACCAGCTTGTTGGGGTCCCCTCTTTCTGGCTTCATGAGGTAGTCATTGAGAACCTTGCAGGCAGCCTTGACCTCCCTGCTTGGTTCATGCCTTTGTTCCCAAGATGGAAAAAAAAAAAAAGAAAGATGAAAGGATGAGTTCTAATTTGTGCATCTCGAAAGCGTAAACCTGATTCCTACATGGAACGCACATCTGGAGAACAATGGTTATATAAGCATGCCAAAAGCAGTTGAAGGAACACAACCTAACAACTGCTGTGAAAGTCTCAGTTGAATTGTGAACTTTTTAAAATTATTAAAATTTATCTTTTTGACTTGGCTCAGGTAAGTTCCTGGCTTCGGGTCGATGCCATGCCGAACTGCACTCCATCCCTGAAAGTTCCCCTTACTTAAAAGTGTTCATTGCTCGCTCGATCCCGGACAAAATGGAAAATAGGACGCCTCAAGGCAACGATATTCAAGCTTTACCTCTGACTTGCGACCTTAATCTCACCTTTTAAAATTAGTGAAACACCAAAGAAAACTGGAGTACTTGGAAAACATGGAAACTAGAAGAAAAATCTTGCACCTACAATTTTTTCATAACATATATTCTGGCCAAACTGGCATAAATGCCTCCTTCTACCTTTCTCCTCCCACCTATACCCTAGGTGTGATCATCCATTTAAAGTAAAAAAATACTTGTTTAACTACTTCTTTAAGAACTTATTTTTTGTTAAAACATTAAGTGATTGGAACTCTTTACCCTTCGAAATTGTAAACACTACAAACAATGATCTATTTTTTTCAAAAATGATCCCTACTTCCTAGATCCTTTTTGTGATCTCACAGCGATGAAAATAATCCCTGGAGAAGGGGAACAAAGGGGCTAAGGATTATTTTTTGTCATGCTTGTCCAGCTCGCTTGCAACTTGCATGAATTGCATTACCATCAAGACCTTAAAATGCAGGCTGTTCACCGTTGTTGGTGTTAGACTGGCAGCAGCTGATGAAACCTGCTTGCTCTACTGGTGTATAACTCCTGGTTAGCTCAGTTGGCAGAGCACTCCACTGGAAATGGAGAGGTCCCTGGTTCGATACCAGGACCCGGTGGATTTTTTCGGTTGCGTACCAGTCACCTAGCTATGTTTGGAGATTTGTGTTTGTCCTTCATCCTCCTTGTTCCCCTTGTCCAGGGATTATTTTTGTCATTCTTGTCCAGCTCGCTTGCAACTCTGCATTGATTGCCTCATCATCTTATAGTGTTTTTTTGCGTGTACGTGTGTGTGTGTGTGTGTGTCTTTTTTTGGCTATGCACATATTTGCATGTAGTCATTGTTCTCTTTCCATTTGCCTAATACTTTTTACTGCAACGCTGTTGTTTTTCTTTTTTTTTTTTTTACTCCCCCTGCTATAATGCCCCTGGCACTGTAGGTATCGGAAAATAAATAAAAATAAATAAATGTATAACAAAAATGAAAGAACCCCTAAAATAATTTTTCTTTTAATTTTTAAACAGTTATGTTGGGACATGTGTTAGCAAAAATTAATTTTACGTAAAAAGAATAATTTTTTAGAGCAATATTGACGGCACGAGACGCAATTTCGTTGGTAGTCCTTTCCTTTCTACTTGTTTTCTCTCTCACCATCTCGGGCACGTGGAGGAGAGGCGGATCAGCTTGGCCATCTCGTTAAGGCGGAAAAGAGTGCATGACCCTTCCGTGACGTCACAAACTTTGCGCGCAGAATTTAAAATAAATCTCGCACCTTCAATATTGCTTAAAAAATTATTTCTTTCGCGTAAAATTAATTTTTTGACATGCGTGTCCCAACCAGACTGTTTAAAAAATACATTCTTTTCTTCTCAGGGGCCCTTAAACAGTAGGATTTTGTTTCGTTAGTCTTGAACGAATACAACTAAGAATGAACCCCAAAAAAAAAGGTTCTTGGAAAAAACGCTTGATCATATGACACGCCTGCAGCGCCAGCTTAGAGATTAATCTACAAAATACAACACTCAGTGAGGTCTTGAAAGATATGTAAGGGTGTCAAGTAATTACTTAGTTGTGAAAACATCCCCATAAAGGTCATTACTCTTTCTTTTTTTGAATACTGGGTTTGAAAAAAAAAGTTATGGTTGAAACCAGAAAGTGTGGTCGAAAAAAGACCACAGTCTCTGGTTTTAACCATCCTGTTTAATTTACATTAGCTCCCCTGGACTTGAACCATTAATTTTTTTAAAGAAGTTTATTTTTAGTGAATTTTAAAGGGTGTTATTGGTGACTACGTTTGACTGGAACTTTGACGCTTATCAATGCTTACTTAGGTTATCTTTCCAATTCTAAAAAGTTCAGCATTTACCGGAGCTTAAAGGAACACTGACACACCCCAAAATGTTTTTCAAATGTTTTGCCAGGCATTTAATAATGATGTTAGAAGACCACCCAATTAATATTTTGCTACAGCGTCACATATATTTTCAAAAAAGTAAAAAAAATGCAACTGCTCGAAACCGAAACTGGACTGGGGAAGAAGAGGAAATAATAGAGGAGAAAGCGTCGCCAAAAATCACGTAACTGTGCAACTTTTTTTTCTTTCAATTAATGCATTTACAGTTTTTTCAAAGTCCCAAAAAATGGGTGTCATATTTCTTTTTCTATTTTTATTATTGAGTGTATGCCTTTGATGACCTACGACTTCGATTATATTTGGTGGTTGTGTCTAAAGAAAACGGCAGCGGTTTTGAGGCTCTTTTCAGGCGGAAAGAACACAAACTTCAAGCCACAAATTGTGTTCTGGGTAGTTGGGCTCTCATGTCATGTGTCATGTACGAATAAAAACCCCGGTCAGCATAAATGCCCTGACAGTGTCCCTTTAAAGGGATACTTCAACGAAACTTGAAATATTCTCGTCGTGTTCAAAAGTAGGTTGAATATGATCCACAATATCCGTAAATGACAATCGCACATTTGTATTTTGAGCCTGGTGGCTGTATTTTTCGTTATAAATGGCCCACTCTGGCAAGCGCTCGGAGAAGGCCCAGCGGAGACCACGTGACATCCAACGCAATCGTGACGTAGGTCGTCTCAGGACGAGCAAAGCTATGGCGAGGCTGACATCGAGAGGATGGCCTAGTCCTTCCAGCCACCGAAGCGGCTGCTTTTGTCAGAATTTTGAGTGACGGGTTAATCTTCTGAAATCTTGTAGGGGGACAATAGCGACTTCTGCGACACACAAAAGGGATTCTCGGGACAAGGGCAGTTCCTCCTTCCCCTCTTCCCTCGTACTGGCCGGGGGCGAGACAACCTCCGTCACTAGCTGTCAAGGTTCCTAGACGGGCATTACTATAAGCGAGGCGTTAGCGACATCCACCAGGTGCTCTTTGCTAATCGTTTAATTCGTTTTAAAATTCCTTTTGGTGACTTTTTAACAAAATATTGGTATGTTCGATGTGATGCTGCTTCTTTGAACACATATAGACCAAAAAATGAGCGCCGAATTTTCATTGTAGTATCCCTTTAGAGCCCGACCTGCAAAATATTTTTTTAACTTTGCCGAAAATCCTCCTTGCCACCCCTCCCATTTCCACCTCTCCCACTCTTAATTTGATGGCAGGGGGGGGGGGGGGGGGACTCCTTTTGTTGCTGCATCTTAATGTTGGATGAGCCAGGATAAGCACCTGGCTTATCTGGCTCCAAGATGCAGCAACAAAACCCCCCCCCCCCCCCCCCCCCCCCCCATCAATTTAAGAGTGAAAAAGGAGAAAATGCAAAAGGTGGCGAGGAGGATTTTCAGAAAAGTTAAAAAGATATTTTGCAGGTCGAGCTTTAATTTCTTAATATTCACTTCACAGACGTTGCTCAGTCGAGTGGAGGCATGCCCAGCCTCCTCTGCAGCGTCTGACGGGAAAAGACTACTAAAATGTAATGCAAACTCACTTCTCTGCTCGCTCTGTCATTCTTGACTGCTCCGCACGGGGCTGCAACGGCACTTCCGGCCTCTTGTCCTCGGGACTCCCCATGAGGGCACGTCGATTGTCAAAGCCCAGCGGCATGGACGTCGGCCGTGCCATCACCTTCCGAGGGGATCTCGACGCCAGCTTCGGGATCCGCGACGTCAGCGTCGGAAGGGCCGGGTCCAGCACGTTCTTGTCAATGAAGTCCTTAGCCACGTTCGTGATCTGCGAGCTGCACTTGTCGCATAGCCGAACCCCCGCATTATCCGTCCGTGCCTCTTCCATGGACGTCGTCATCGTCGTTCCAATGGTCCGCCTCTCCTCCGGCTTCGCCTCCGACTTGTCTCCACCCGCAGACTCGCCACGACACACGTCGCAGACGATCGTCTCGTTCACGTTCCAGTCGCCAACGCCAATCGTCTCCGTCTGCCGCAGTTCACACTTCTCGCAGAGGACGTCGGAGACGGCACAATCTCCGGAACCCCGCGATGTCTTCTCCTCATTCACAACAGACGTCACGCCGACGTCCCGCTGCGTCACGTGGATGCCGACACCGATCGAGCGGCGCCGCACGCTCCGGCAGCGGTCGCACGTGGCGTCCCGCACGTCGAGCACGCCCGTCCCGGTTGAAACGACGTGAGCCTTCACGTCTTCACATCGCACCTGAAGCCCCACGTGGCGCCGGTCCACCGAGTCCGCCTGGAGCATGACGTCCCGTTTCCGCACGGGACTCGGGGAGATCTGGACACCAACATTTCCTTTCGTGACTCGTGTCGTCTGGGCGCCCTGGCTTCGTGAGCGCGGCCTCGGAGTTGGGGCGGGCGAAACTGGTGGCGTTGGGACAGGGGACCTCGCCTGCGCTGTCACGCCGACGCTCGATGTTCTAACCACTTCGGTGTTTACGGCAGAGTCCGATGTCACTACCTGCAACCTTTCCTCGCATCGCGAGCAGGGCCGCAGCTCGGGCCGGACTGATGTCGGCTCGCAGACGTCGAACGTCAGTTGCTCCAACTTCTTGCGCACGTCCCGACGCACTTCTGTGTCCGTTGCCGTCTGCTTAGACTCGTACTGCTTCTGGTTGCGCTCCGCGCACTTGGTGCACGGCAGCGCTCGCGGAGGTCGCCTCTCGCGTTCAGCGTCGAGTAGGGGCGATCGTTCGTATTGACCTCGATACTCGGCCTGCGACGGGGCCGCGGAGTCCTCGCCGACTCCGACGGTCCGCGTCTCGACGGAGCATCCGACGCCTACTGTCTTCTGGATCCGCACGAGGGGCTTGCTCCGGTCCAAACTTCGGCTCGGACGTACGGGCGGAGTGTCCTTAAAGGTTCCGTTCAGGGCAGCGTCTAAAGAAAGGGCAAAGGATAGCGGGCTCATGCGTCCCTTTTCGTCTGATGTGATTCGAGGCGTTACGATGCCCCGTCCGTCTAGTGCCCGGAGCCTCGACTCAAAATCGTCTTCACTGTCTTCTTTTAAGACAGGAGTTTCCACGCGATCGTCGCCTACAGCAACCGAGCGCTGGGACAGGTGGGTTGATTTTGCCTTCAGCTGGAGCATAAGCAGTCGCTTCTCTTCTTTGAGAACGGAAAGCTTCACCTGAAATGAGAATGATATGATGCCAATGTTGTGGCACCCATAACTACACTATTTTCTTGCATATAATCCACATCAAAATTTATATAAAATCAAAGTCAAAGTAGGGATCCAGTTATACGCGAATTTGGCGGGCAGTGGGGCTTCATGGCAATGCATGCAAAGTTGTGGGGATAGATTCCTCATAGTCCCTCTTCTAAGGTCTCTTCTAGGGATTTTCCTTTTCCCCACCATCTCCTCATTTTCTTCTTTTTTTCTTTCAGGTTGCCAACTTTGCATTGTTTTTCCAGGCTCAATGGCCAAACCGAGCCGTCGTTGATTTGACGGCAACACACAAAGCATCATTGCTGTCAAATGTGTGCTGCCTTCGACAGCAACGTTTTTTGCAGTTTCAGATCCGTTGCCGAAAAGATTGGAAACCGAGCAGCAGGCCGGAACTACGGCTGCTACGACGTTGACAAATCATGCATGCAAGAATGGAAGAAGGAGAGCCTGCAAACTGCAAGCCATGACCGACGATCATTCCGCGCTCTGAAGACTGGTGCGTACCCCGAGCTTGAAAAAGTACTCGCAAAGTTTGTCAAGGAGAAAAGAGGTTGCAATCATGTCGTATCAACGCAGGTTCAGCGTGATTGCGACCTCTCCCAACGAGATGCTGCGGAACATCTTCAAAAATTGCTGCATCAGCCTTGCCTTGACGGCATGGATCACAACACTACTCGCAGCAGCGAAGGCACCTCAGATAGCTGCAGCAACTGCAGCGATGAGTGTATTAAAATAAAGATAGGGTTGCTGCAAGATCTTAATATTGATTTGCACAATTAGTGCGGGCAATAAGCGAGGTACTTTTTGTCTTTTTTCTGGGAGTAGTAAGTTGGGGGTGCTAGTTATATGCAAAGGCGGGTAATATGCGCGAAAATACGGTACGTGGAGTGGCTGCTTTGTATATAGATAAGCTTGGTCTACTTAAAATAACATACTACAATATATTGTATTACAATATACAATACATACTATCAGGGATGGGCAGTATTTCAAATACAAGTATTTAAAGTATGTATTTCAAACACTTTGTGTATTTTGTATTTGTATTTAATTACAAATTGGGTAATATATTTGACGTGTGTATTTAAATACTAAAACGTGGGTATTTCAAGTACAATTGTAATTAAATACAATTTTGTGGGCGAAAATACATCCCTCAAATTTATTGTCACTGTCCAGAGCAGGAAGAAAACTACGTTCTGCACCAAATGCAGTGTCTCTCAATCAAGCACAAGCGTTTAGTGACTTTTTGATTACGGTGCTAGTCCAGGGCAAGAATAGTGACGAAATCGACGTTCACAGGCAGACTGGCTAAATAAGTGCCTGTGACAACTTGTGATGCTTTCCAGCCTGATTTCCATCCATATTTTTGCCTGGAACATTCTAAATGCGTGGGTTGTCCAGATTTTCGTAACTGGTGCGAGTCACAACAATAAAAAATTCTCTAGCTAGTGCTGCGCGTCTTGGTCGTCTCGGTTCTTTGTTGGTCTATACCAAAATGTAATCGACAAAAAGAGCTGCTTGAAGCTCTGTACTTTTTTCACCTACTGCGTCCAAGCTGATTAAATTTGTTTGTGATTATATTTCTATTACGTTACTAGAGCCTCGCACACTAACTCCCGAGTGTGCGACTCAAAATTATAATGAGATACCCAGAAACCCGTTGCAGGTGCCTTGAAGTCGCTGACGGAAATTTTGAGGAATGTATTTGGAAAAGCATTTGGAGGAAACCAAATACATTTGGTTGTATTTGTATCTTGTGCTTAAATGCTTCTTTGGAAATGTAATTATATTTGTAATTAAATACATTTTTGACAAAGTATTTTGTATTTGTATTTCAATACATATTTGCATGTATTTTGCCCATCCCTGCATACTATAATACAATATACTACAATATGAAGTTGAGCCCACTGGCATAAGGTAACAATTAATAAATTTATATATTCTATTCCCACAAAATTATTGTACGCATCTGGGGCACATGAAGCAAAAACACTGCTGTCCATCGAGACCAGCCGACCACCAATACATGCCAATAAGTTTGATGGCAGAAAATTAACGTTGGGGACATCACACACCCACAAGCAAAACAAAAGTAGCAAAACTGAATGATGCCTAAGAATATCCACTACTAAGCAATCCTTACTCTCCAATGCAAAAGTAGCCTCAATGTAACAGAGGCAAAACATTCTCTTGCAGCCATAGTTGAGCCCGCTGCTGGTTGGCACATGCTTCGAAAGAGCTCGTCCGCTAAAGAAAAGTCTTTGTAACTTGAAATGCACATATCAGAATCATTGACGAAGTTCACTGTGCGCATGCTCTGACCAGCAACAACTACCGCTAAGACAGTGAGAGAACACTAAGCACAAGTTACCCTATAGAGAACTGCAAACACTACATTCTAGCTGGTGCCCCATGCATGCAACACGTGCACCATGCGCATAAGGGCACCTCTGACAGGCATGCACTTACACGTGTTTTCTAGCAACAGCAGAGAAATGGCACCTGCCAGATGCCCTGCTTGCGACCGTGTATAGGGGGCGTTCAATGGGCACCATATTTGAGCACATTGTTGACAAGTCAAGCTCAAATCAAGCTCACACTTATCGTCTGCTAAGAACGGCTACGTAAATGTTGTGAAATGCCCGTTCCGAGGCGCCATAGGAGCACCCCGTCGGCACGCTTTCACCACAAACTCGCCCATGGCCGCCGGCGAACAGCCCCTATATTAGTCCATGGCCATGCAACGAGTTAAGAAAGCATTAGAGGCAGTTAGGCGATTCATGTACAAAATTACCGGGGCACACTACATAGACACGAGAGACTATGGTGCCCGGAACTAATCTCCGACTGGAGTGTTTCGAGCCCCATATTACCGCCCATGCATCGAAAGTGGTCCCAAAGCGGCAGCAAAGAATGCATCGGAAGACGGTGTGTCGTGCCGTTGAACGTCGCAATCTCGGTGGTTGGTCACGGAAGTTCTGCCAAAAAAAGACGAGCGAACCTGAGTGTCGCCGTCGTCGCAGCGTCCCAACTCCTGGCTTTCTGAGCTTTCGTGAAAAGACAAGTCAGAGAGCAACCTATGGCAGAACGGCAATCAGCCGCATCCACCTCTGCCGCCACGGTGCCACCGGGATCGCAGCGTGCAACGGCACGACACGAGTGCGACGTCATCGAGCGGAAATCGAGGAACCACAAACGGGGACGCGGTCAAAGTCGGAGACGCGCTCCAGGCACCATAGGGAGGCAGTGATCGCCCGTACCTGCAACAGTGGTATGGCCTTGACCTCGTCTTCGAGCTGCCTGATGCGCTTCAGACTCGTGGCCATCAGTTCCCGAACGTTGGTTAGCGCCGCCCGGTTAACGCCTAGCGAGTTAGGACCGGTAGGACTAGTGGCCAGCCCGGGTGGATGCTTGGTCGGCGGGAAGCCGTTTCTGAGCTGCAAGTCACGCCGTGGACGGAGGTCGGCGCTCGTCGGGAAACAAAACCGACACCGACACAGAGCCCAGACTAGCGCCACGACCGATAATCCCGACGCTACGATCGCGAGTGCAAATGCCATTACTAGGTTAGTGGATGAGTGAAGTTGACGCACTCTTCTAGGTGTGGAAACGGAATTTTTCGGTTGTTATTTTTCCTTAGGGGACAGGCGGCTCGCTTTCTTGTGCTTCTTCTTCATCTTCCTTTATGTTTTTGCAATATTTTTCGTCTTCTTCACCTTAGATCTAGCACTGTCTTTGTCAAGGTCCAATGCTGTTCAACGAATAATAATTCTGTTGTGTGTATGCTTAGACAGCCAAAAGTTAGCCAGCCTCAGAGGCACCTGGTGTCTCAGCCAATGCAGTACCACTCCTAGTCTAGTTTTCTTAACATGCATCACGCAGTAGTGACACACAACCACACACTAGTACGATGCTCATGCAGATCGGGACAGGCAGGTGTTGGAGATTGAACTCACCAATCTTCATAACAACTCACTGGATCGCGCTTCCTTGCTCAGCGAGCGCGGCCACCGGAAGTTCCAAAATAGGCTATCTTAGGCATGCATAAAATCAGCTGGGCAAAGCATTGCAGAGGCTGGGTGGCTGCGTGCTGAAAGACAAGTTTTCTGCTCGTTCGCCGTTGTTTGCTGAAGAAGCTTTTTAAAACCTTGCGTAAACGGTCGTAGCTGTCTTTGAGGACCCGTGGAAATGTTTACAAAAGCGCAGCGCCGCAGGGAAAAGGCACAGCTTGTTGAACGCAAGTCTCACTGTCTCGGGTGGCGTGATCAAAGGATGTGCCTTGGCACGCTGAAGTGCTGTGTCTCTTTGCCTTTGCATAAAATAGACAGACTACCCACAACACGTCGTCATCACCACTGATCAGTGGTCGATCGACATAATCAAGCCCCGTTTGTAAAACTTGGCAGCAAGTTTGGACGCGGCCTGCCTATACATTGTGATTGGTAAACAGATGGCACATGACCATATGGGCCGTATTCCAAAGCTTTTTCGGCCTCACCGTTTCATAACATGGCATTCGCAAACCTACCTCCCATCCAGCACTGTCCCATTGCGTTGCTCTTTCTGTGTTGCCATGTGATGCATCCATTTGAGGAGATTTCCAACATAGCCATCCATATGATACATAATAGATCATTCTTGAAATTTTTAAATGAAGCATACATCCTAGTTACTCATAGTGCATGACCACTAGTTGGTTGTGCACTATGAGCACGCATTGGAGACAAGCGCTTCGTCAGCATTTGGAGTGCACTCGGATCAAAACGCATTCCACACGAGTGCTGCGTCAGTGCTTGGCACAAACTCGGAACCAATTATGGGCTTCGTGCCGGACGTGATAAGACCAACTAATGGTGGCTCTGCATAATCTATGCATCATTTCACTATTTCAGAAAAAGCTTTCAACAACCACTGATCTTTTACAGTGGAGCTGTAAAGGGCTAGTTTACTCAGTATCGCGTCCGCGGACAAAGAAATGTTGACACAAAACTCCAGACGGCTACCGCTAACGCTCATGGATGGCAGCAACCTTTCCAGCCTTTCTACTCTGGTTTTCGCCGGAGTGTAAAGGCTGAATTTCTCTAGGCGTCGTCCTAAAAGTCGTCCTTGAGGACATCTTAGACATCGTCCTAAAAGTCGTCCTCGAGGTCGTCCTAGATGTTGTCCTTGAGGTCGTCCTAGGCATCGTCCTAGACGTCGTAAAGATAACAGCTTCGCTAGTCCTCCATCTTCACGTGAACTGGAAGGGCTCTACACTTTTTCTCTTTTTTATTTGTATAGCAACTATTGATTAGTGATAGTAACTTGCCGAAGGAGCTGGGTGATCCAGAACTCCACGACCGATATGTATAAATCAGACATCTATGCGCGACACACCTTCAAAACTTTCCCGAAGGTTTAACACATCCACATGGCATAGATTGTTGGTCGGTATGCAAGCGCGTGAAGGCACAGATACGCAGCACTTTGGCTTTGACCACGTCGTCCGAGACCACAAGCATTGCGGTCTACAAGTTGTGCCATTTTCTCGCGGTGCTAGCTTTTGTAAATATTTAAATGGGTTCTCAACAAAGACAGCTAAGACTGTGTACACGAGGTTTCAAAAAACTTCTTTGGCAAATGACGGTCGTCGGGCAGAAAACGTGTCTTTCGGCAAGCAGCTGCCTAGACTCTGCAACGCTTCGCTTGGCTGATTTTATGCACACTTAAGATGAACGATTCAGAACTTCGGGTGGCAGCCCCAGCGCTGCAGCAACCAAGCGAGAATGCGCAATCTAGCAAATTGTCATAGGGATCAATGATTGAACTTAAATAGATAGCTAAGTCAGCTATTTTTAAAGATTTCCCCTAATATCCATGTTTCAGAGCTACTATGCACCATAACCAACAGAATAGCAGTGCCAAATTCAATATGTTTGTTTCCGTAATAAATAACAAAAATCAAGCGTGACTATACTATGATAATTGGCGAGTCACTAAAGAGTTGCGCAAACGAAACATAAATTTGGTGTAATACAGATTAGAAATTGCACTAATTGTATTTTGCGTATGTTTGGAAATTTTAGTTTTAGAGTATGATCACAGCTAATGTCACCGTCTGTAAATGACAGTATATCATCAACCTGTATTTTATTAGTTCATTCCTTTTCAAAGCATAGCAGATGATACTGTAGCAAAAGCAAGCAAAAATACTGTCTTTGATCAGCTGCAAGGTCAGTGAAAGGAAAGCAAGAATGAAAAATGAGCCACGCTAATAAAATTATTGTTCAGCATTGATTATTATGATGGCATTAGGTTGCTGGAGCAATTCAGTCAATCTGGCAAAATAGGGCAAAAAGTCAAACAGCTGTAAATCAAAGAGAAAGAGTCGGTGTTGGAACCGGAGGAAAAACTCACGTCGGACAAAACGTGGGAAGACGTGGTCGACTGTGACGAAATGGAACTGGTCGACCCGCTTCGGGAGCGCGAGGGTCCAAAGACCATGTCCAGGATTTCGTTTGCCTTCTTTTGGTCTGCTTCAGGCCAATGAGATCGTAGCGCCGAGGATGGTCTCGATTCTGGCAAGAAACAAAAGAAAAAATGAATCGATCAGTGACTATTTACAGCAGTACACCGACCCATAGTCACTCAAAAGTCTGTGGAACCAGAAAATAAAGGGGTACCCGTACCACAATAGACAACTATGTGCAGTGTGTTCGAAATTATGTCAAATATGATTGTTAACAGCTGCACATAAGAATAGCACAACTGAATTTGGAACATATTCTTGTCGCATTGTTCGGTCCAGATGCGAATCGCTGCGTCGAGTTTGGGACGCTGTGGCGAGCGCCCGGAAATTAGCGACCGAAGTGCGAGATGAACCCTGGGATGTTTGTGAAGTGACCTGTCAGCTTGGCATGGCCAATGTTGGCCTGGTAATGAGCTTTGCTAATTGCCACCATACGACTACGTACTTGTAATAGGTGTCACTGTGTGACCAATTCAGCAGTTGGAATGCTGGATATGAATGACTGCACTACACCCTCACTAGTAATCAGATGTCTGTCTTAAAGTAGGGATGCTTTTCTACACTTTCCACCAAAAGATAGTCATCTCTGAGGTGGTCCTTACAATAGCTGGTCCATATTTAGACAAAAACAAGGTAAATATTTGAGTTCCATGTGAACCCCCCAACCCAATACTGTCGAGACCGGTTATAACGAAGTCAACGGGAATCTGAAATCACTTTGCTATATCCGCTTCTTCGTTATATCTGTAATCCATAAAAACAAAAACAAAAAAAAACAAAAAAAAAACCCGGACTGTCACGGGCACATGTTTATCGTGCCTGCAAAAAGCGGTTGAGGCTTCCCTGCACGAAATCTCTGCTAAATCGGAGCCGCTTCTCGCTGACCGCGAGAAGCTCTGATAGAAAGAAAATCCTGTGAGCTACGAACGGACTGGATCCAGAGCCCTATCGACAGCTGCGGCAGCCGCCGCGGAGGACGCTGGCGGTGGCTAGCATTCTTTATGTAAATATTCACTTTGTCGAGGGTGGCGGCACGCTTTTGTTTCAAGGAGATTGCCTTCGTCTTTCTTGTTGAGGTGCCGGCGGTGTCAGGACTTGCTATCATTGATTTGCGATGAGTTGCCAAATCAGTGCTTGAGCAAAGCTAGACTTTCATGCAGAAAGCGATCACACTGACTAGCACGCCGCCACGGAACACGAAACAAACAAAGTGCACACGGCACCGAGTTTGCGCTCAAGTTTGTGTTTCGTTGGTATAAAAAGCCTACATTTAAGAAAGGGAGCAACTGCTCGATCAGGTTCACGTGGCTTGTAGGCCGCGTTTGCAAAACAAGCTGCAGCCTTCAAGGAGTCAAAAGCGTTCACTGTTTGCAAACGTGTCCGCCTCTCTGCCTGGCTTCCTTGCCACGCTGGGCACGAGACAACCAAATGCAGGCACACTTGAGCCTATCTGCTTAAGAAGTGGCTGCCATTAAATTGGAGTTGCCCCCTCGCTCAAATCTACGGTTCTTTCCCTTGACTCAGTCGGTACGTCAGTGGCACGCCACGACAACTTCTCCGCGTGCGATACGGAAAAGCTGCTTCCCAGATAAGGAGCAGAGAGCAGACGACAACGTAGACGATGCAGAGGCTACCGCAGGCAGCCTTTGCAGCACATCTGCAGCTCGTTCTGGGTGGTTGCTTGGCCATGGCAGCGGAGTGCAGCGGTCTGCGACTCGATAAACTTTCAGAATTTAATTATTTTTTCATACTATCATGAAATTTACATTTGCTATATCAGCGGGAGCCCCTCAATTTCCTTCGCTAAAACAGACACAAAAATATTTAAAAAGCGCAAACAGGAATGGGAAATCATGACTGCTTCACTATAGCCGCTATTTCGTTATAACAGTCTTTGTTATAATCAGTCGCGACAGAAGTATATGCAGGTTTAGCACAAGTATATGACTGCTACAAATGCTCAGAATGCTAGCAAGGGTCACAAGAATGAAAATAATTAAACAAATTTAAAAAATTACTTCTTAGCATTTGGTGGCTGCATAAATGCAACACTTGCATAACAATCTTGCCTCTATCCTGCACCATGCTCTTCATGTATCAGATACAAATTATGAAGGCGAATGGAACTTAGAAGGACTTGAGAGGAACCCTTTTTAAGCCTTAATGTGGCAGCTTGATGTCCTGCTAAGTGACTTTTAAGCCTCTTTATGAAGCACCAAAAGTGACTGTAAAGTTTCATTTTCAGATGAATTTTGAGTATATACTAACGAATACAACAAGTCGTAATTAGGCTGTTGCATCACACAAGAGCATTTTGCAACTTGCATAAGATAGTGAGCCTATCTAAATGTGGCACAGTACCAGTTGTCTGTGAAAAACGTTTAAAGCGGTTTTTTCACTGCAAAAGTAGACCACGCATTACTGAATGCTTGGTGCCCATCCAAATGTAGTGCTGGCAGTCACGACACTATGCCTAAGGTTCGAGAGTTTGCCGTCATCTTGTCTGAAAGTTATACTGTGTTTGCTCGATTCTAGCACGCCCCCCCCCCCCCCCCCCCCCTATTCATAATCTTATTAATGCCGAATGTACCGCGCCGGCGATGTCTCTCCGAATCCTAGACCAACAAGCCGGAAGCGAGTGACGGCTGTGCAGCCGGTATTCACTTCCTTCTGTCCAAGATTGCCGTCAATCCTATGCGGTGGATCTCACGGCTCATGCTCGTTGGCATCACATTATCAGGTGCCTCTAGCTTCTCGGTAACGTTGCTCCTAACCCCGGTCTCATGACGCTCTGCAGGCACTGTGACAAGTAAGTTTGTGACGATCAGGCCATCCTGTGCTGTGATTTTTGTGATCACTGGGTCACCACGTGACCGGAGACACCCACATCATCAACCCTTCACTCTCGCCCACAAGCTCCACAGCCTTCAACCTTCAACCACAAGCTCCAACAACTAGGCGTGGTGCCGCAGCCCTTCATAATATGGGCGACTTGCCTTTCTGTGGCGCCGCGGCTCTCCTGAGCTAGAATAAATATCAGCATCAATATCAATACAGACTGGAAGATATGGTAAACTGAATATGACGGTGTGCAGCCGATACAGTCGAGGCAGGAGGCGGAAGTAAATCGAACGTAGCAACTGGTAACTACATGTATGCCAGAATACCTGCATCAGACGACACCAGGGGCGAGTCGGCGTACTTCGGAGCGTTCCTGAGCAGGTCCACCCTCGAGGGACCGTCTCCGAAGGTGGGCCTTTGGTACGTGCCTCCGTCCCCCAGCCCGTTCTCGTGACCCTTCAGGACGTCTTCGAAATTGCGGAACACCTCGCTCAGCGTCTCGTCGTTCGAAGTGAGCAGGTCGGGGGGAGGCGCGGTTGGTCGCACCTGCCACGACAGAAAGTTTTGATTAAAGGCCGGTTTGTAGGCTTGCAAACGCTTAAGAACGAGAGTGTCACGACCTCCCATGGCATCTTACGATGAGAATACGCACACACCGGCACCCGGCCCCGAAAATGCATTTCACCAAAGTGGGAAGGTTTTGCGGTAGCATTCACGAGATCAAACGTATGTGCTACTATATGAAGACATGGTTGCGTACGTCACAAAAGTTTTTCAAGCCAATAACGCAAGAATGATGTCCAAAGAAAATAAAATATGTATACGGGAATCGCGAGCGTTCCGCGGCTACACGATAAAAGGCATTAGTATGTTCTCTCGTAGTACGAGATCACAAGAGGTTGTAATGCACTCGGTCGTAAGCAGTCGCAACTATGTGCACAAGCCTTAAACGTATTTCAAATTGTAATCATTTTCTATTTTCTGACCACGACAATCATCCATACCAAAACGAGCGGGTGCTCGGAACAAATTCAAGGATCCAGGATTTGATCCCTGTGTGTGCAAGGATCAAACCAAGGAATTTATTTTTACCCCCCCCCCCCCCCCCCCCCCCACCACACATAAAAAAACTTTCCCGTTTTCTCAAAGTTGTGTTTTTTGTACCAGGAAGAAATTCCTGCATACGCATCTTTGAATGTAAAATTTAAAAGTTTGACCCGAATAATTCATTTGAGCCTCAATACCTAACAACTGTGCGACAGGACTGATGTTTTAGAGAAATGTATATACTGCAAAATTTTTTATTGGCAGTAATTACAATATTTTGTTTTTTATTGTCAGGAAAAGAGGTTCAACATGTGATAACTTTTCCTAAACGATATTATTATAAGAATGCTCTTGCTTCACACTTTATTATTTGGAGAATATGTAACTACAGTATACTTTTTGCCAGTATTTGAAGGACACTGTAAAAAAGCTAGGCAAAAGTGTTTGCTGTCATGTATCCTTTTTCTCTTGAAAACTAAAACAGTTTTCATAGAAGACCTAGACCAATCTTCTATGATTAACATAGAAGTTTGGTCTAGTTGGTTACAGCGCTGTGTCCTGATGGTTACCTTCTACTTTGTCCCCGTCTTTGCACTGTTTTGTTTTTAATTAAGATTACGAACAAATAAAAATGTAGTAAGTACATAAAATTACAGTAGGTGGGAGAATTTCATCGAAATTGATTGAGAAACAATAAAAAATTTCTCAAAACCTGGGTCTCCGCTTGAATTTAGATTACTCGTAGCAAATAAAAAGAAAAAAAGAAGCCAATAAGTAAACATTTTACTTGAGAGTATTAGAATTAGGTAAATCTAGTGATCCATCCTGAAATGTCAAGTGGAGTGACAAGGAGCCATTAAAAGCACCACGCACCTGAATGCCAGTCGCGCTCATTTTTCAGCCGAAGTAAGCAGCGCACAGCTCTTTCAATGCTACGAGAGACCTCGCAAGGTTTCTGTAGACAGGTGCGTGCCACAGACACAGCATACACACAGGCTGCGTAGATGCATGCAGGTAAACAGGCTGGGGCCCCACACCCTCCCACCCTCCGCGGCACTTTGAGGACCAAAAGCGATGCTTCAGAACTGAGCCTCCTTATCACCGGGGTGACCCAGTGATTGGAGGCAGAGTTATGGCCCCCACCTAGCTATCGCCCCTACTGCTTCTTTTTATCAGTCAACAAACGAGATAAGGTAAGATAAAATCGAAAGGTAGCCTGGATCATTTGCTCCTCCTTGCCCTCCGCCCCTAAATTTCTAGGTGTTTTGGTCCCACCACGAGATAACTAGTGGCTGCCTTACTTTTGTCCCTTTTTTATTTAACATACCTCAAGTCGCCTGGTTAGGGCATTAGATGAGGGGGAATACAAAAGCTGATGATATAAAATACAACATACAATAACACACTTATTACACAAAAAAGAAATCATAAATAAAAAAAAAAATTAAAATCAATAGAAATATTGATAAAATAACAGCACAAATAAATTCCCATGCACACATGCCTCATTCCTGAATACAGTAAAGTAATAATTCCCATGCTGTTTAGAATTTTCTTCTATCTGTAATTTCCACAATATATTATGGAGCACGAAGTTCCAATTGAAAATGCAACGAAGCAAGCTGCAATGGAGAGTTTAGAAATTGGTTAGTATGACATTTTTGTAAGTTAATTTTATGAGGATGGTCGTGTGCAGAAAAAATTTGATAAGGGGGAAGTTATAACCCGCTACTTGTAATAACCATATAGTCATTTCACAATGTAAACAGTGTCCCAAATTCGTCACAACAATTTTCAGTTTATAGAAAGTGTTTTAAAAGCGACAAAAATTCAAATTAGATATTGCTTGTTGATGGTTGAATGTTCTTTTGGTAAGACACTAAAAGCTTATTTATTTATTTAAAAATACTGCAACCGCTGCCTTAATGATCGAGTCTGAGGCAAAGTATCGGACTACAAATCCCCAGGTGGTTGGTTTAAATACACGCCAAGGTCCAATCAATATGATGGGGGCTTACTGCAGAAAAGGCAATTTGGACCATCTGGGGATCAAAAGATCCCCGGTTGGTTAAAATTAATCCTTTAGTCCTCTGCTGGAGTGTGTGCGACGCCCTTTGTTGGTTTGGCGCGTAAAACCCAAAAATTTGGCGTTAAAAATACTACAATCCACATCATTTAGGACTAGAGCAGAGGGTTACAGAGTTCTTTTTGAAGCACAAATTTAGTTGTTGGTGCAAGCCCATTACAGCTCACATCCTATTTATAACACTGAGCTCCTGATCGGCACGGTTACGTATTTGCAAGAAGACCATCAGAAGAGCAAATCACAAAAAAAGCCGGCCCCTGCTACTGTCACACCTATATTTTTTGTCTCCTTGGTTACTACAAAACCAAGGAAGGAGCTAGCTAAAGAAGTGTAATTGACTTTGCAAAGACACTTTTTGACTTGCAAAATCAACATTCTTTCCTTTTTTTTTTTTTTTTAATGAGGTACTTTTGCAGTTTACCACAAAGACAGCTTTCGATATTACCTTTTAGCCCCAGTGGTACAAAAAGCTGACGCGAAGTATGCATTTTTCCATCTAATCTCACCGCGGCAAAAAATACCATGTCACTGGACTGCAGTGTGCAGACGCATGAGTGGCATCTGATAATTCCGAAGAAGAAAGAGACTGCACATGCTCAAAAGACAAAGATGGCAGTGTGCAGAAGTCGACCAAAGATGGGTTCTCAAAACTAGGTCCTCACAGTATCCTGAAAGGTTCCCCGAGCCTCCAAATCTCCTCGACTGTCTCTGCCCCCAAACAAACTTTTTCCAGCTTAAGCTCTATTTTAGCAGATCCCAGCTGCCCGCCGATATATATCACTATGAGCCAATCACTTCCTAGTGTGTGCATTATTGCTTACAAGGTCTGTAGGCTTCTGCAGTGATTTATTGTATCAATGTTGTGACAGGAAAGGGCTCTTCAGTCATCAATCGAGGGGGGTAGAAGATTGAAACAAGTGATGAATGAATGGATACATATGGTTGAACACTCTGAATTGGGGTAGTGTTGTGCCTAGTCGGTGTTTTCTTTTGGAAATGTTTGAGAACCCATAAACCATAGATTCTTTGGCCCTCCGGCCCCGACTTACCACGGCCTTGCCAACGTGCTCCTCCGTCCCGTTGTAGAGCCCCTGCTTGACGGCTTCCTTGTCCAGGGTACCCAGGTAGGCCTGGAGGGACTTGCGTTGGCGCCGCCGCTCCTTGCACAGCTGGCGCAGCTGGTCCAGGTTTCCCTTCGCAGCCTGCGCCTTGAGGGCATCGCAGAACTGCACAAAGTCCAGGTGGATGTGGTAGCCGTACGGACAGCAGTTGCACCGCGTCCCTTCCCGCGTCTTCAGCTCCGCCATCAGCTGGTCGTGCAGCATGCCTGGAGTCCATGTGTGGTACCCTGCAAACATTGTGCAAGTTCCATGAGTCGTGTCCCAAATATAAATCAGGCTACCTGCAGCTGGATTATAGAACTGGTCCCAGCTGCATCCAGCTGGGATTGACACAATCCAGCTGGATCCAGCTAAGACCAGTTCCAAATCAAGCTGCATGTGGACCGACTTTCACCTCGGGTGGCATTCGTGCCGGATCGGAGGCTACGCACAATAGTGGTACAAGTTGAAAAGCGCAGCTCTTAAAGGGGGACCAGCAGAAATATTCTTCCGCCTGGCGGAAAGTCCTTCTCGCCCTCTTTCTTTCTTGTATTGTAGCACGGCGAGGCGAGGGGAAAGGTCTCCTTTTGCGCCGGCTTCTTCTGAAAGGATAAGCCGAGAAAATCCCCATTCTGAGCGACGGGCGATGGGTGCGGCAGCAGCGACCTCGTGACTTAGAGGTAGCTTCAGCTCCTATCGCGTAATCTGCCCTATTTTTTGGCGCTCACCAAGCCTAGCCCCTCGGGTGTAGGTTTTACGGAGCTGCAAGGCTGCGCCCGCGCAATCACCGAATTTCAGCTGTCGAAGGTCTTTGGTTTAGCCCGTGGCAAAGTAAACACATACTTGAGAGCTGCGATGCATCCCCGCACCCATTGAAGGAACGTTTCATTGACATTGACATTTTTACGCAAGGGCCATGCAGAATTTAGTGTATAAGAACAAATTGATGCCTCGTAAGTTGGTGCCCAACGGAAGCACTCTAACAACTTTTCAAATATAAAAATAAAACAAAATAACACCACGTTTTTGGGGGCCACTAATTTTACTGATTTACTATGTTAGCGTTAATTGTGCAGCGGTGAGCGTACATTACGCGACACTGTTAGCGCAAACACGACATCGGCGCTTTTTGCTATTTTCCCCATCAATGCATCGACTCGCAATAAAATCTACCGCTTAGGTTGGATACTCGCATTAACAGTTTCCTAAACATCGTTCACTTCTAACAAAAAAAAAAGTGGGAAACACCGCCGATAGTTTGTGCTAACTGCGTGGCGTAGGGTACCTAAAAGTTTTTTACAATGTTAAATACAATTCTGTGTCACGTTAAAAAACATTGTCTGCTTTTGCTTTAGTTTCTTTGAGACACCGCAAATACTTCGAAGTGGCGGCCCGTACTAAGGTACCGATACAAGCAACGTTGAACCATAACACGACACGCTAGACTCGCCAAAAAGGGTTTTAATATTGTCTTTTCTGCTCCATAGCCGCACTCGATGAAGAATGTAAACAGCGAGTCTAGCTTATATTTCGTTGTGGGGTACGGACCGTACGGTTATCTAAGTGGCTAAAAGCGACCCACTAAAACTTTCTAAAATTGACATTCACCCTTGATGCCCTCTCACCTCAGGTGGCTGTTGGGGATGTGTAAGTATGAATTTCATACATTTTGCTGGCCATTATGTTCTGCATGTTAGGCACACAACAAGGCATTTTAGTAAATCCTTTTCAAAGGCCCGCTTCCACTTCAGGCGCGCGCTTCAGAGAATGCATCGAAGTGGCAGCGCGAGCTCCCGCTAAATATAGCGTGGCCTGAAAACATAGTCTGCTAAAGTTCTCCAATAATTTGTGCTCGCTGCTAGAAAACAGAGACCTTCTAGATGACGCCCGCGCCTGGTACATCGTTTTCTTGTCCATCTATCCCAATTTGAGGCAGGTTTGAGCGTGATAAGCCGTTTTTTTTTTTTTTCGAAGATAGAATGTTTTGTGAAGATGTAAGTCATCCTTACATATTCAAGTCACCACTTCTCGTGCATGTGTTTTGAGCTCCTTGATCAACTGAAAATATCTATGAAACGTTCCTTCAATGGGTGCGGGGATGCATCGCAGCTCTCAAATATGCGTTTACTTTGCCACGGGCTAAACCAAAGACCTTCAACAGCTGAAATTCGGTTACTGCGCGGGCGCAGCCTTGCAGCTTCGTAAAACCTACACCCGAGGGGCTAGGCTTGGTGAGCGCCAAAAAAATGTGGCAGATTACGCGATAGGAGCTGAAGCTACCTCTAAGTCACGAGGTCGCTGCTGCCGCACCCATCGCCCGTCGCTCAGAATGGGGATTTTCTCGGCTTATCCTCTCAGAAGAAGCCGGCGCAAAAGGGGACTTTTCCCCTCGCCTCGCCGTGCTACAATACAAGAAAGAAAGAGGGCGAGGAGGACTTTCCGCCAGGCGGAAGAATATTTCTGCTGGTCCCCCTTTAAAAAGCTAGGGATCCCCATTTTTTTTTTTTTTTTTTTTTTTGCTGTGCTGGACAAGACTGATATTTCTATCGAGTGTGATAGAAATGAATATCTTGTATGTTACGCCGGCAAAAAAACAAAGTGGCGCAATTACAGTCTGCACTTCCGGGAACGAAAACGTAAGAAACGGTGCAAGTCAATTTGTACCGTTGTTGCATGTAGCCCCTAAATTGACGAGGGGAACGGCAAGACGGTGATTTTGGCTGCTAACCCGACAACACATTGGATCGTTTAGTTTATTGAAGGGTTTAAAAATGGGCCAAGTATGAAGCCTTCAATGCAAAGTGAACATAGCTGCCTACTGCTGATGCAGTAGGCATGCTACCAGAAGACTGGCCGCTCGCTTACAAACGATGGTGACTAATGCATCCCGAGAACCGCCGAACCGAAAGTACAGGGCCGATTTTGAAAAACAAATAGGCACTGACCTCTAGTAACATCATCCCTTATTGACTCGACATACCGTAAAACAAACAATCAAGACGAAAAAAAATGTCCAAATTGCCGCAGAGTCTATTACACATACGGCAATCAGTGCAACACATAAACAATGCCCCCGTAAGAAACACACACTCTACAAACACCACAAGCCTATGTCACATTGTGACCACCTCGTCCAAGCTTTGAATCTCCTTACCGAGAGCCCACGGGCTGGCACTTTGCTCCAAAGTCACCGAGGCAGCTATACTTTGTGATAGGGATAGGTTCTAATTTGGTTACTATCTCATTGTTTTTCATTATAGTATCACTACCGAGCTGGCAATCTTGAAGTTTTCAAGGAGGACGTTGTTAATACCTTCATTTCTTTCTGCGTCTTACTACTCACATAGTTTGCCCTTAACACCTCCGTATTCTAAGGTCCTCCCATTTGTGTTGCTCCTACTCAACCTCTTCCCCTCTTGCGATACGTTCACAGTGTGTCGGCGAGGTAACCGGACTCAGATTCAACATCAAAAGCTCAAAAGACTCACCCATCTTAACCTTGGTGCGCTTCCCTTTGTGACCGCGGTTCGGACTGCGTGGGGGTGGCTTTGGCTCCGAGTCCGACAAATTGGAGTTGGACGACCGGAGGGCCTCCAGTTTTTCCCGGAGCTCTGACTGTGTTGGAGCTGCGCAAGGAAATCGTAATGTGGAAGAAGGCGATGCCAGCCGGGGGATCGGAGGCCGAGTGTGTTGGCACACCGTGGCTCGGAGCATGTGGGGGGAAAGCTCACGTTGTAGAACCAAGGGATGCCGAGATTCAATCCCCACACCTGCTCGTTTCAATTTGGACGAGCATCGTACTGGCGTGCGGTCATGTATCATTACTGCATGGTGCATGTTAAGGACCCCAGGCTAGCAGGGGTACCACAGCGGCTAAACTTATCACCTACAGCGGATACACCGGGTACCATTGAGGCTGACCAAATTCACGCTGCCTAAACATGCACACAACCCACGGACCGAAATATTGGCAAAGTTGGAATGCAGCCTAGCGCCATACGATTTCACCCCCTCACCAATACAATCGAGACTAAACAAATGCGAACTACTAGTGCAGGCTCTCGCAACTCAATGCTAACAGGTGGCGTGGTTACGAAATCAGTGTTAAAGGGGCACTAAACCACTTTCTGCAATAGCCTATTCACGCTCATAACTCAAGCAATGCATGCTCTGAGCATCATAAAGAGCCAAACATTACATTTATGTATGGCCGATTTCTCTATTAGAATCGGTATTAAAAGACTGCCACTTGATGGCGCCATTGGACGAGGAAGGCCGGAGCCGTTTAAACTGAGAGCGTTTGGCCTTCCTAAGGAGATTTTGACAGCCTGCCAACCACAGCAGCGTAGTCCGCCATTTTGTGGCTTTTACTCACATGAACTCAATGCAATTTCTCAGGAATAAACAAGACAAAAAAGTAACGCCATTTTGTGTTATCGCCAAACCTGCTGGTTTCAGCGGGCAACAGGCTCAGTCCGTTGGCCGAACTCTCTCTGTACAAACGGCTCTGAGGAGGTCAGAGCACTGCGACGGTGTCCCTCTGGTGTCTGCGCTAGTTCCTAGGTAATCAATCTTTTGATACCAATTTGATAAGAAAAATCGGCCACGCATGAATGTAATGTCTGGTTTTTTAAGATGCGTAGAGCCCATAGATAGAGTTATGACCATATGGACTCTATTTAGGGTTCTGTGTTTTTGTATAAATTCGGAAAACTCCGGAAAACACCTGCCAGTAAAATTTTAGTAAATTCGGGTTTATCCGATAAACTCAGAAATTTGATGTGCCAAAAAACCCCCCCCCCCCCTCTTTTTTTTTTTTTTTTTTTTTCTGTGTGGGGGGGGGGGGGGGAGAGGAGGAGGAGGGGGACAACAAAATAAATATATATAAAAAAAGACGATATTTTACAAGTCAGTTTGATCAGCTCACAGGGTCAATGGTGCTGGGGAAATGCCACCTCTGTTATCTTTCAAATCACGGACCCTTGTCAAAAGGAGTCTTGCCAACTATCTCGTCAAGGTTCATCCAGGACAACAGGCCAATGTACCTTTGGGTCACGACAAAAGCCACTGTCTTGGTTTCCAGTTTGGGCCATACTATTTGTGCTCTAAAGGAAGGAGAGGTTGTGTTTTTGTAACAGTTAAAGCTATTGACCATGCTGATTGCATAAAATGAGGAACTTCTCTATTCCATCCTTTACCAATCCTCCTCGTGCAGCCGCGGGGTAGCATGACGGAGTAGGATGGGATTAATACGAGCTTCCCAGCGACTATGCCTCCAGGAATTTATTGATTTTAAGGCATTGGCACTTATTGAAGCAACACTTGTGTGCAACTTTTGTCACGGGACAAATTAGTAATGGCAATGGCACCAATGCCAAACCCAGCTGAAAAAATATTCATGGAAACAAGCACATTTTATTTTTGTATCCAGCATACATTTACACCCGGATGTTATTTATTTATTTATTTTAAAAAAGAAACACTCCGAGCTTGACAAAATTTAGGAGAATTGGGAATCAAGCAAAATAAGCTCCGATAAACTCCGAATTTTCCGAAAAAAATAAACTCTGAAAAACACCCTCCGAATTTGATGAAAAATAAACTCCCAAAACACGGAATCCTTACTATATTGCAGAAAGTGGTTTAGTGCCCCTTTAATGTGGTAGCCATGTAGGGTCATTACGTAGGAGGGAATGCCTCATCACTAAAAAATGTAACCTTCAGTGGGAGTGGAAACAGCAAATCTGTTCCATTCACACTCATTAAACAGAATTCTGCATAAATTTGATCCATAATTGGCAACCAAAAAATGTAGTTTATATGTTTTTCTGACCCAGTCAACAAAATTTACACCAAAACGAACAGTGTCGGACGACCAGAAACGTGCTATCACTCTTGACCGATTAAGTCGTGCCAATGATTTGAGAAGGAAATAGGAGTGTCTCGATAAACAAGACAGGCACGTAGCCAGGATTTTGGTTTGGGGGGGGGCCCGCCCATGGCAAATGTCTGTATGAGGGGGAGGGGGGAGAGGAGGTCCCAGCAAAATCAAAGATTTTGGAGGGGGGGGGCCTGGGGCCCATAGGCCTCCCCCCTGGCTACGAGCCTGAGGTTACAGCACAACCAATGCTGAAAATAGGTATGTAGCTACCCAAGAAACACTTGAGTTTACATGCATGCTGTTGAAAGTTGAAACAGTACTGATCAGTAAGTGCATTAATCACATCTTGAATCAGCACTCTTAATGACATTAGTAATGGCTGTTGAAGGCAGATCACACTTTGCAAAACAAGAGAACACAAACACATGATAGTAGAACATTGAGAGTCAATATGGGATTACCCACTTTTTTTCACCTTTGCTTCCGTATCACACCATGCTGCTTCGTGTCAAGCTGTTAAACATCCCCAAAGCCACAGATACTTTTAGTACTCAATCGCTATACCCACAGAAGCTAGCGTACACTGAGCTTCAGCTCTAATTCATGTGGTTATCCGAGAAGTCCAGCAGCAAGATATGACTCCCTTTTGCATGAGCTAGACATTGGAGAGGGATGTTCCTTCTGTCACTTCTGATAAGTCTGATAGGAGAGCGACAACCCCTGAAAAATTATCATTACAGGCCAGCTTCAAGAGCTGACACATGCAGACAATCCCGAGTTGTCTCGAGGTCAAGGAACTTAATATGGAGCCATAATATGGTGTCCTACTTCCTGTCCTATGACTGCTAATATATTTCTACAAACTCTGTTTCTAAAACAGACTTAAAGAAAGAAAAGTTCGAAACAAATCTTAAATGAGCATAGAAATTGTTAAAATGCCCAGAAACAGTGTGCAAACATTTTAAAGGTTGAGCAGGCAAAGCATTACTTGCTCTGCCTGCTCAACATTTAAAAGTTGTACTAATCCCAAGCAAGCAAACATACCATACTTGATAAAAATATGTTAAAATATAGTTAGGAAAAGTAAAAACTGTCCAGGTGTCTTTATATAAGATCGCCACACTGTTAGCCACCTTCTCTGGTCATAATTCCCTTTTCATTTCTGGTGGAATTGACAAAAAAAATTAACTATTGGCAAACTGGTCAATATTGTCACTTAATATTGAATATAGACTCACCATACATGATTCCTGCAGCAAGGGTTGAATGTTGTAGACATGCGGCTGGTGTTCTGAAAATGACAGCAAAGGATGACATACCATCAGCACAACAGTCTGAAACTTGATCTTGTATCGTCAGTTTCTACATTCTGAAAGAACAGGCTAGGACCGTAAGTGGAGTTTAAAAGCAGGAAGTAACAAATCTACTGAGGAACCAACAGACAAAAGATAATCAAGATCTTATCGAAGCCCGCCTTTTGCTGTTCCCAATCTACTGATATTGGTTAAGTGTTCTGAAAACTAGGGCAGTGACCGTCTTATCTTCCATCGATAATATGGCTGCACAACATACTTCCCGTGATGCAATTTCTGCAATGAAGTTAGCATAATCTACTACACAACTGTTAAAATATTACTACCCTTCACCACCCAGCTCGCCCTAATGACCTTCCAACCTTTTAGGATCGCTGTCCCTCTTGTTACCCTATCCCAAAAATACAAGATATGTTGCATTGTTTTTATCCTGTCTGTTTGTAGCAGGGTAGAGAATAAAAATCAAGATGATTTAAATCACAATCTAAATTGTGATCTAAATCGGTTCAGATTTTACTATGGCGATTTAAATCAAACCTTTTCTGCAAAAATAACCACGAATATAATTCTTAGTTTTTATTTACCGACTGTCTATCATTTGATCCTTTCTATGTGCATTTGTTTTGTATACTGAAATCAAAGGATCATCAAGCAAGAAAGATTTACACGAGGCCAAGCACGAGCAAAAAGCACAGCACTTCTGAGCAAATCGGAGCACTGAACCTCTTTCTACCTTCCACTTCGCTCGCTAGTTGTGTAAGATTATATTTTAAGCAAATTAGAAAGCGAAGGAAAGGAACAAAAACTAAAAAAAGTAATGCCTTGTTGCATGCGAATCAGAATGTGAAAGCAAAAGCAAATAAAGCTTTATAGCTCACAAAAAAAACGAAAAAAAACAAGCTCTTTTTGTTTTAGTTGGTGGGGGTCACATCAATAAAAAATTGTTCATTTAACTGTCGTTACTATTGTCCAGCTCGCTTGCACCTTTGCATTAATTGCATTACCATCATTTAACTGTATTTTAAATATATGGTAATAATTTCTTTTGTCAATCAACCATATTTAAACCCAACAATCAATGAACCAATCAACTAATCTACAATAATTAAAAATATGTGCAGTGATAGAGTGACTATTTTCTGGCGACAGTGATTCAAATCAAGTTGGTCCAATTGAAATAAAGAAAACCTGGTGTATTTGATCTTTTAAAAAAACCATGATTTTTTTCCACCCTGGTTTGCAGGATGGCTTCAATATTTGAAGGGAATGGGTTATTTTCATATTTTCACCGAGATACTCAGTAAACCTGGTAAATCACGATGAGCTCCCACCCCTAATATTAACGAAATTAAACTGTCTCAATGTGTGGTGCCTACATGTACTTGTCCTCGGGTAGAACACATAATCCTCTCTATGAAGCAACAAGGCTCCGCCATTTTCATAGATGGGTAAATTACTTCCAAAATGTAATTTAATTACAATTACAATTACTTTGTTTCGAAAGTAGTTTAACTATAATTACAATTACTACCACATAAAAAGTAATTAATTACAATTACAAATTACTTTAAAAAAGTAATGTAATTACTTTACCATTACTTATTTCTGAGAGCTTCAGCTATATAACTTTTAAACGATTGTATACAATGCAGTGCATTTGCTCATTGCTTGCCCCAATGTTTGAGGATTGCTGCATAAATGTCAAGTATTGTACTTTCCTTTTATGGATTTTGTTAAATTGATGATATACCTGACAGTTTGGGGCAATGAAGTACTTGTTCTTATATTTTTAATAAATAATAATAAACTAGTTCATATTCTGGAAGACGCCAGATTGCTAAAGAAAAATGGGTTGACAGACTTTTGTTAGCCAGGCAAATAAAAATGTGACAATTAGTCCTGTATTAATGTTTTACAAGTGTTATTATAAAACTTAAATCGACACGCGCTAATATGACCACATTCACATACAAACAATGTTATTGGAAATCATTTACACTGAGTTGAAATCATAATGGCTCAGAAATATACAAGAACCAAATCGGGGCTCCCGAATCATAGTGACGATATTCACAGGTGCGAGGTCAGTTACCAAAATGCTTCTGCAAATAATATCCGGAGTAAATACAACAGGAAAAGAACTTGAGAATAATACAAAGATACAAATATGCGACTGCACTGGAAGAAAGACGTAAGAAACTGGCAAAACAAGGAAACTAAACTTCATAGACAATTAAAAATCCCAACCTCGGCTAAAAGCTGAAGCTCAATTTTTTTTTCTTTATATTTTGGCATGTTTATTTATTTATTTATTTAATTTTCCCTCAAGGCCAGAGGCATTACAGAGGGGGAGAGCAAAAAAAAATACAGAAAAGGAAAACAAGCCTAGAAATAAGTTAAAAACGCTCAACAAATAAAAGATTAGTAATTGCAGTTTTGAAAAGGTCAGAGTCCGTGATGGTGGCAATTGTCCCGGGAAGGTGGTTCCATTCTCGTGATGTACGATGGACGAACGATGAATGAAATGTTGTTGTGTTAGAAATCGAAATACCAACCTTGTGATTGTGATCGTTGCGAGAAGAAACGTAAAAAGGAAGGGATATTAATTTGTCGCGCAGGATAGAATTGTGAAAATAAATCTTATGGAATAAAGAAAGGCGAGAAATGCTACGACGCAAGGCTAAAGGCGGCAATGATAGAGTAGCTTTCATGGCAGTCACGCTAGCAGTGTTGTGGTAGTTAGAAAGGATGAAACGAGCTGATCTGTTTTGAATCGCTTCCAATGCAGTGATGAGGGTGACTTGTCCAGGGTCCCAGACAGAGGCTGCATATTCCAACCTTGGACAAATTAATGTTTTATAAAGGGTCAACTTTAGTGCAACTGGAGCTAATGAAAAATTTTGTTTAACATAACCCAACATGCGGTTAGCGTTAGAGGAAACATACTGAATATGATTCTTCCATGAAAGGTCAGATGTTATGTGCACGCCGAGGTATTTGTAAGACGACACCGGCTCCATATAAACCTGATCAAGAAAATAGTTAGGATTGTCAGAAGATTGTCGAGATACACGTATAGACTTACATTTGTTAGCGTTAAGGCTCATTGACCATAAATCACACCACTCGATGATAGTGTTAATGTCGGACTGTAGAACACTGGTGTCATGATTATCTATTCTTTCACGATAAAGGACACAGTCGTCAGCAAACAGACACATAGACGAGGAGATGTTAACCGGGAGATCGTTAATATAAATTAAAAATAGCAATGGCCCTAGAACAGATCCCTGAGGAACCCCGGAAGTAACAGATACAAGAGATGAGTTACTATTATTGACAGTAACAAACTGCGAGCAATCAGACAGAAAAGATTGAATCCATGGAAGTATGTTAGGATCTAAGTTAAGCTTGGAAAGTTTCAGAATCAGAAGTTTATGAGACACTTTATCGAACGCTTTTGCAAAGTCTAGGAAAATGCAGTCTGCCTGGGATCCTTGATCTAAAATGCAATGGAGGTCATGGGTGAAAGAGAGAAGCTGAGTTTCACATGAAAATGTCTTTCTAAATCCATGCTGGGAAGGGCTGAAAGAATTGTTAGACTCTAAAAAGTTGACAATGGGGGAGAAGATGACATGCTCAAGTAGTTTGCAAGGTATGCTGGTTATTGAGATTGGGCGGTAATTATGAGCAAAATGCTTGTTACCAGCTTTAAGTATAGGTACCACCTTCCCTATCTTCCAGTCGAGAGGAAGAATGGCATCTTTGATTGACTGTTCGAACAACATAGTTAATATTATGGATGAGTAAAATTTAGTATTCTTGAGGAATTTTGAATTGATACCATCCACTCCTGTTGAGGAGGACAATCTGAGATTTTCTATAATTGAAATCACTCCAACATAATCAAGAGGAATCGAATCCATCGGCAGGTAATCAGTGCTAACCAGCAGTGGGGTATCAAGACGTCTATCACTTAAAAAAGCATCAATGAAAACGCGACTAAATACATTTGCGCAGACTTCGCTAGGCATACTTTCACCACTTGAAGACATTAGTGAGATTGAAGAATGGGATTTTTTGTTCATAATGTTCCAAAATTGTTTAGGGTTATTTATCAACATTGCTGGTAAGCTGCGTGTGAAAAAATCTAATTTGGCGTCTTCAATTGCTCTTTTATACACTTCAGCAGCAGTGCGATAGCTCGACCAGCGACGTTCACATGTGCTGAATTTTGCAGCGCGAAATGAACGCTTTTTCTTATTGGAGCGGCGTTTTAGGGCCCTAGTAAACCAGGGTGATTGTGAGTCACCCTGGTTTACGCTACTGTTTTCTGCTCGCACCGCAAAAGGCGCTACACGGCGCCGTTGAGGTAGGCTCCAAAGAGGAATATCTCTCCGTTCGTAGTGTAAGTATCCAAAAAAAAACAAAAAACAATGCGACGCTATTTTTGTTGTGCGTGCGTGTCTGTGTGCGAGTTTGTCAGCGAGCGCTTGACCGCTTGCGCGATCGCTGATGCTTTCAAAGAGGTTCCTCGTTGGCACCGCAAAGTCTCGCAAAAGTAATTGAAATTTTGACTGAAATTTTGCAACTACTGACGCTAGAAAGTAATTAAATTACAATTACAATTCCTTTCAGGAGAAAGTGATTAATTACAATTACAATTCCTTTTAGCAGAAAGTAATTAACAACAATTACAAATAACCAAAAAGGAAATAAATTACTGTAATTGAATTACTACTCAGGTATGGCCGTTTTGGTCCAACCTCAAAAGTATTCCGGTATCCTCGCCGAGGAGCGGCGTACTCTGCTGCAGACGGGACGCTGTGACGTCACGTGACAAGAGGTCACGTGAGTCAGTGATGTCGCAGTGTCACGTGACTCTAATTCCACGCAAAACATTTCGGACCACGACCCTACACGAAACCTACCACGGAATCCTCTGCGACAACCTCGCATATAACCGCTGTCGCCCTCG